TGTGATTATTCTACCATACAATTTAGACTGGAACATAAGCCAGAATGGACCCTGCTCTTCTTCTAGGGTTAGGTCAAGATAGTTGATTTTTGTTCATTCATTCATATACATTTTTCATTTCAGCCCCATAACAAACTTTGTGATTGATACTATAGATTACATTATTTCCATTTAAGTGATCTGGAACCTGAAGTATAGATAGAGTATTGATCACGTAGCAGCTACTTAGTGTTAGGGATATGACATGAACCCGAGTCTTCCTGCTTTCACAAAAGTATCACAACGCATATTAAAGCAAGAGTAATATTGATTAACAGGTACTTTCTTGTAGTAATGCATGAAAGGATACACCAAGTATGGTGGGTGGATCTGGGTTAAGGGAAGGAGAACCCAAACTGATGAAATTAGAGATATTTTCAAATATTAAAGACTATTTCAAAAGTGTCCTTCATCATACCACAAGCATCTTTCTAGTCTGCTTATTTCCATCTTGGCTTTGCTGCCAAGAATGTTAGGGTTAGAGTACCGTCTCTCTGGGCAATCAGAATGGCAAAGAATCTGGAAATCATGTTACATAAAGATAGCATAAGGAACTGAGGCTACTAAAAAAGTGAGACACTGGACTTTGGGAAGAAGCAAATTTTGTTTTAACTTAATGAAGAACTTTTGGTTTGGGGCCAATCCTAACCCTTATGAACAGGCTGCCTTGACACTGCAATGCTCTGTGATACTCTTCCTAGCTAGATCTTGTTCATATTCTGCACAGACCTCAGTCTCCCATTGCCAACCAGGGCTGCAAAAATGAATCTCTTGATTTTTTTTCATGTTTTTCCTAGTCAGGACACGATACAGTGTACTTTCTAAATCTTTCTGAGGGAAAGTGTGTGTGTGTGTGTGTGTGTGTGTGTGTGTGTGTGTGTGTGTGAGAGAGAGAGAGAGAGAGAGAGAGAGAGAGAGAGAGAAAGAGAGAGAGAAAGGGAGAGAAAGCACTCTTGGCTATACTTTTTCCTGCTACTATTCTATCTTAGTTTTACCTCTCCACAGTTTTGAGAAGAATTATGAATTGTTAATGTATCAAAAATTGTTCTAAAAAATCAAGAAAATGCAATTATAAATAACCCTGAGTTTGTACCACATAGCCATCCAATTGGGATGGAAGCAGTCAATGCTGGAAGGGTTGGGGGAATACAGGCACATTAATACACTGTGAATTGGTCTAATTATTCTGAAAAACAATTTGGAAGTATGCTAAAATAATAACTTAAAAGTCCATACATTTTAACTTAGACAATCAGTTGCTAGGCATATACTTGAAGGAGTTTAAAGGCAGATGGTAAAGGTCTCATATATACCTAAATATTTATAGGCACACATTTTGTGTTCACCAAGAACTGGAAACAATGTAAATACCCATTGATTAGAACAATGGCTAAAGAAATTAAAGTACCTAAAAGTAATGGAATTACTGTGCCATGTCAAGCAATAAATATTATAGAAGCATGGATAGACATATGAACAGATGAAGAGTGAAACAAGCAGATAGAAGAAAACAATATACACAATGAGAATCAGGAAAATAGTATACATAATATTGAAAAAAATAAATGGAAGGGACCAAAAAATAAAATTGAACCTTAGAAAATCTTAATAGAGCTGGAGAAAACCTGAGAAATACAGTACTGTCAATTATTTGCAGAGATCAGTGATGTGGGTGTAGAATTTTACTTATATTGTAAAATGCAGTTAATGAGTTGGATGGTTTTGCTGAATTGTTTTTTTTTCCACTTTTTAAGTTCTTTGTTAATTGGTATATCTCTATAGGTAGAAGAAATATTAAACAATAAATATCATCTACAAGAAAACTATCAAAAATAAGTCATAAAAATGAGTGGGTCTTATCAACACAACTTCTTTTCACTTTTTGGTCACGATTATTAAACTGATATGTCAGGAGATAGCTGGAGATTGTCAAACCCCAATAAATTACAGAGTCTGTTCTAAGAAAGAGACAGACAAAATTAGGCTCGTGTGTCCATGGTTTAATTTTTCTCAAGCTGATTTGACATGCATTGCATGGGAGTTCAGTCCAAAACTGGGCCCCTCTAAGGGGGCCAGTTCAGAACTGGCTTGATTTGGGATTTGGGAGTACAAGGTTATATACTTCTTCAACAGGAGCTCATATCAACCTGCCATCATTCCAGATCACTCCCAGCTTTGGTCTATCTAAGTAGAGAAATCTGCCTCCACCCAAGCCTGAGTAGGATAAAATCAATTCAGATTTGGGTAGGGTTGGACCAGGATAAGAAGATTCAATGCAGTCTCATTATCAGTAATGTCCTTCTGAAGAACTTTGAAGCCGAAGGCTAGGGGGGAGAGCTCTGAGTCTAGAAATCATTTTTCATAAGATATAGTATACCCAGATTTTAGGAAACATTTGAAAAAAAATTATTCATGCTATTTTTATGGACAATGTAATGATGGGAGTTAGATCTTAGAAAAGTTAGGTGTGTTTGTATCTTGTAGAGCCACTAAAATCAAAGAGAAATATACAATGTGAACCCCAAGAATCCACAAACCCCAATTTTGAAACAGTCAGCTCTAGGAGACAATGAAATTGGGGTACATGTGTCCACAGTTTAATTTCTCTCAAGCTGGCTTGACACACATTGCATGGGAGTTTAGTCCAAAACTGGGCCCCCCTAAGGGGCTAGCTCAGAACTGGTTCAAATTGGGATTTGGGGGTTGCAGGCTTATATGCCATTTGAAGAGTAGATGTTCCCAAGGGATGCCAATCAACTCTGAGAGGTGGGCCATATTAAAATGGAGGGTCTTTCAATACATGTCCTTGCCCACTCAATCCTGGTCAAAGAGATATGAATTTCCATATCACTTGTCTTGACAATAGGGAGGAATCAATATTCTCCCTGACCTGTCCAGGCAACATAATGAGCAGGAATAAATCCATTTAGATTATATCTTAATGTCCTTCTGAAGAAGGACTGAACTTAGAAAGAAAGGGAGATAGGGAAGCTCTGAGTTTCCAAGGAAATAATTACTACAAAAAATAATTTTTCACAATAATGAACTAATATCAACCTACAGACAAATCTTTGAGCAGCTAAGTGACACTGTGGATAGAATGCTGGGCTGGCAGTCAAGGTGACTTATCTTACTGAGTTTAAATCTGGTCTCAGATATTCTTAACTGTGTGACCCTGGGAAAGTCACTTAATCCTGTTTGCCTCAGTTCCTTATCTGAAAATGATCTGAGTAGGAAATTGCCAACCATTTCAGCATCTTTGCCAAGAAAACCTCAAACTTGGTCAGAAAGAATCAGACAGGACTGAAAAACAACAAGAAAATAGATCAGCCTTTAGTGTAATGTCATAATTGTCTGTCCTTGGCTTTGTGTTATTACTCATTGTCTTAAACAGTTCTCATTTATACTATAGCTTTGGAAAAACAGGTTTTTAAAAAGCCTATTGTGATTCAGATGGTGCTACCTGACTATGCTTTTCAACCCAAATCACTCTGGCTTTCATTGAATGGCCAATAATAGGTCCCAGCCCAAGTCTTCGTTGCTCATTGTTTGGGTATTGATGGCTTAGAATGAGTATAAATATTAATAGTTTTCTGCTCTGGTCAGAGATTCTGAGGATCTTCCCTTCCCAGATCCACACTTTGGAAGTGGTAATCTGTGCCATCTTTCATCCCAGTTCTTCTCTAGCACTTAATCGTTGAATGGGCGTTGCCTCAGACAAACTGAGACCCTGGAAAACTCTTAATTTAAAAAAGTCAAAGTCGCCCACTGCATTCTGGCCCATCACCACTGAATTTTGTCTTTCAGTTGGACTCTGATGACTCTGGAGGAGAGGATGAGACTGATGACTTTTCGTAGCTGTGCCTCATTTAAATCCAATTCACACTCAAGTCAAGACACCACCTTAATGATGTCACTAGTCTTCAAGAACGAGTTGAACAACAATAAATACTTTAATGACATTCTTATGGAAAAGGGATTAGACTTATTCTGTTTGGTCCCAGCAAGAAGAATTAGAGAGATGGGCAGAACATGTAGAGAGGAAGACTTGGCTAGATAGTATGAAGAAACTTTGTTATAATTAAAGCAGCCTAAAAAGGAGATAGGGTACTTTAAGAGACATTGGCTTGACTGAGATTCAAGGATACACAGTAATAGGCTGAATAAATAACTGTGAGACTTTTTCTAATAAGGAGATTAAAATTTTTTTGACCCATCTTCTCACATGTTGAAATTAAGTTCACTTTTATTCCCTTCCTCTGGGCATAATTCAGTCTGGCCATATCAAATCAGCAAGTCAATAGGAATTTATTAATCATCTACTAAGTCCCAGACACTGTATTTAATACAGAAGGAAAAAAAAACAGAACTCTACTGATATGATCCTACCTACACAGAGAACGATAGTTCAGTAATTTCACACATTTTGAACACCATATTTCTATTAATGGTTGCCTAAGATCGTGTTAGGGTTGTTTTTTTTGGTAGATCTCTACTAGATTTTCAAATGTTTCCCCTTTCCCTCTTCTGGCTTTCAATAATCTTTTCAACATTGCTCTGTACTCCCAAAATCTAGTGCAGAATATCCAGAAACTATAATAACTCCACATTAACAAGGTCCGTCCCTAAGTCCTCCATAATAGCATAGCTTTGTGTAATTGTCTAGAGTTACAGATGGCATCATCACACCTTTTTCCACACCTAAGACATATTACAAGTGTATAATACACAAATATTCTATGTAAATTTATAGGATGATAGTAAAATGCATTCCCTAACATCAACCATGAGGGGAAATGCATTTCCTCCCTTTGGAATTTTGTGTGTATGTGTGTGTGTGTGTGTGTGTGTGTGTGTGTGTGTGTGTGTGTGTGTGGTGGAGTTGGTGTAACAAGTTTTGAAACTAAGATATACTGATAAATGAAATTATAATAAGAAAATCATTATCTCCAGGATGGTGCTCAGTTGGCTACATTCCTGAGTGCCCTCTTTACATCTTTGTTCCTCAGGCTGTAGATGAGAGGGTTAAGCATAGGGTTTACCACAGCATACAACACAGACACCAGCTTCCCCTGCTCTTTGGATGACCTAGGTGTCATGTAGGTCATGATTGCTGATCCATAAAATAGGATAACCACAATAAGGTGGGAGCCACAGGTGGAGAAAGCCTTAAGCCTCCCTGAAGTTGTCTTCATCCTGATGACAGTCACTATGATAGAGCTGTAGGAGACCAAGATCAAGGACACAGGTGCAAGAAGAATCACCACACCCATGAGGAAAAGGGCCATCTGTGATCTGTGGGTGTCTCCAGATGCCAAGGCCAAGAGAACTGGGGCCTCACAAAAGAAATGAGCAATCTTATTGTCTCCTTGATAGGGGAGGCATAGTGTGAATGTAGTGTCCACCAAGGATACTAGAACACCACTGATCCAGCACCCTAAGGCCAAATAGCCACACACTTTCCAAGTCATGATGAGAGAGTAGTGCATGGGGTCACAGATTGCCAAGTATCTGTCATAGGACATCACAGCTAACAGTGCACATTGTGTAGCACCAAAAAAGAGGTATAAGAAAAGCTGGGCTGCACAGTCCATGAAAGATATAACCTTCCTTTTGGACAGCATGTGGACTAGGGCCTGGGGAACAATGTTGGTAGAGGAGCAGAAGTCAGCAAGAGACAAGTTACACAGAAAAAAGTACATGGGTATATGGAGGTGTGAATCAGCCAGAACCAGGATGGTAATGAGCAGGTTTCCAAGTGCAGTAACCAAGTAGACCCCTAGAAACAGTACGAAGAGTAACACTTGAGTCTGAGGGTCATCAGAAAGTCCCAGGAGGAGGAATTCTGTCACCCAAGTCTGGTTGGTCTGGCTCATGTCCTTTTTGCTTCTTTAGGAAAGATATTTGATGTGGGTATGTAACCTACGGAATAATAAAATTTTAGTGTTGGAGGGGTCCTGATGTGTCATCTGGTTCAACCTTAAATCTGAACACTGCTGTGATCAAATTTCCAATGATCATCCCTGGTGTTAAGTAGAACAATATAATCAAAGGAAGTCATTTTACTGTTGGTCAGAGCAAACTTAGTATGGGTGTTTATACAGTGAGGGGCAGTTGGGTATAGTATAGAGAAAATGACATTGCTGGTGTCTGCATTTTACTCCCAGGTGTATTTTTGCTGTCTGACAGTGGGAAAGCATAATAATGGGTAGAAAAAGGATAAAGGCATGTCAAGACAATGAGCATTTTAAAAAGTGCCTACTATGTTCCAGGCCCTACATGAAGTGATGGTGTTACAAATAAAGGCAATGGTCTCTGCTCTCTGGGACCTCATCATCCAATTGAGGAGACAACATTTAAACAACTAGGCACAAGCAAGATATGCACATGATAAATTGGAGGTGATCTCAGAAGGAAGACATTAAGATTAAGGAAGACTGGGAAAGGCTTCTTATGACGTGGTATGAAGGAAGCCAGGGAAGCCAGGAGGTGGGGTTAAGGAAGGAGATAATTCCCAGCATGAGGGACAGCTAGTGAAAATGCTCAGAAGATGGAACATTTTGTGTGTGGTAGGAACAGCAGAAGGCCAGTGTAATTGAACCACAGAGTATGGGAGGGGGAGAAGGTGTAGGAAGATTGTAGAGGTAGGAAGGACCACGTTATGAAGGGATCTCAAATATCATACAGAGGATTTTATATTTGATCCTGGAAATAACACGAGTCCCTGAAATTGACTGAAGAAGGAGAGGGAGTGACATGGTCAGTTTAAGAATATCAATTTGATAGCTGAGTGAAGGATAGATTGGAGTGCTGAAGGACTTGATCCAGGGAGACCAACAAGAAGGCTATTGCAATAGTCCAATCATGAGATAAGAAGATGCCACACCATGGTTGTGATAATGTCAGAGGTGAGAAAGGGACATATAGGAGCAATATTACAAAGGTTAAATTTCTTGGGAAAACAATCAACACATGGCACCTCTACCTCCCATCCCTTCATTCTTCTAAACTCTCTGTAATGAATTCAAACCTCATCATCAAACTGAAGTTACCAGTGATCTTTTAATTGCTAAATATAATGATTTTTCCTCTCAATCCCTATCCTCTTGACTGCTCTATATCCTTTGACACTGTCAAGCTCCCTCTTCTCCTGCATACTTTTTTCCCCAAGTTTTCATGATATTCTTCTTTCTTTATTCTTCTCCTATCTGTATCATCAGTCTCATTTCCTGGATTTTCATCCAGGTCATGCCCACTAACCATGGGTGTCCCACAGGAGTCTGTCTTGGTCCTCTTCTCCCTCTTTATCTTGCTTGGTGATCTTTTCAGTTCCAACACATTTAGTTATCCTGTCTAGAGAGATGATTCCCAGATTTATATATCCAGGCCTAATATCTGTCCCAAACTTCAGTCAAACATCATGAATTCTCCTTTAGATAACTCAAACTGGATGTCTCAAAGGCATCTCTAACTCCTACATGTCCAAACTGAAGTCATTATCTTTCCCCCCAAACTTTCTATTTTTCCAAACTTCACTTCTGTTGTAGAAGACATAAAGTCAAGTCAATAAGCATTCATTAAGTGCCTACTATGTATTAGGTACTTTGCTAAGTGCTGGTGACACAAATGAAGGCCAAATAAGTCAGTGCCATCCTCTCAGTTAGCTAGGCTCAGAAACTTGGTGTTATCATTGGATCCTCAATTGCACTCCCCACACCTATCCAGAGTGTCACCAGAACATGTCATTTTTTCCTTTCAGATCTACTCTCACAACAGTCTTCCACTGATACAAGTACAACCTTGGCACAAGTTCTCATCACCTCAGGCCTGGAAATACTACCATAGCTCTATGGTTGTTCTTCCTGCTTCTGATTTCTCCCTATTCCTGCCTATCTTCTGCTCAGATGACAAAATCATCTTCCTTAAAGCACATATCTGACCAAGTTGTCCTCCTCCCCATTCTCAGGGAATTCCAATGGGTCCCTACTACCTCCTGGATCAAATAGAAAATAAGTCTATGTTTTTAATGCCCTTCACAAAAATTGGCTCCTTTTTACCTTTCCTTGAACTCAGGTCTTTCTGAATCTGCTTCTGTAATCATTAAACCACCTTCATACACACACACACACACACACACACACACACAGATAGATATATAGATGGATAGATATACATTCACATATATACATATGTTTACATATGTATATACATATACATATGTTTATATATGTGTATATACACATATATGCATATATATAGATATATACAGACACATATATATAATATGTATGTGTACATGCATATCTATAGCTTTCATAGCATTAGATTTATTGCATGTAATTAGTATCTATACTCCATTGTGTCCACATATATTATAAATCTGATACTAATGTAATTTGTTGATTAATATATGTTCCGACCTTACTGTCTAGAAAAATTAGTAGAATAAGTTCACTCCTCTTTTTCTTCTACAAATTACTGTGTGTCCTGGGCCCAAATCTAATATGTATATCACATGGGAGTATACATCTTAAGTTAGTGGTTCTTTGGTGAATAATTAATACCAACTTAAACAAAGAATTTGGAATACTGGTACTTTCTTCAAAGATGGACCTGAAGTAAGTGCAAAGAAATGAAAGCAGCTGGGAAAGAAATGTAAAGTTTTTGTTTTAGTAGAAAAGTCCTCCATATTCTAGTAATCATAGCTGTGATTTCCTTGGCAATGGTTTTCTCCTATGATTCTCTTAGAGCATGGTGTATATAGTCCCCTCAACCATCTTGAACATCCTGTTCACCAGGTTGACAATGTCCTTTCTAAAATGTAAAACCTAGGGGAGCCAAGATGGTGGTGTAAGAAATAAGTCTTTCTCACCTTCCCTTGTTGACCTCTGAAAGCCTGGAAAATATCACCCCAGGAAAAACCTTGGAACAGCTAAACAAGGTGCAGCAGTCTTGTAACACAGGAAGCTTGGGGGATTAACAGGAAAAATCTTTCTTGCTCTGGGGGAGAGGGAACAGTATAGAATGGGAGGTGTCCCAGCAAGCCACCAGAAATCTCCACCTTAGCATGCCAGGAAGAGAGCCTGAATTCCAGGGTGGAGGAGCAGTCAAGCACAAACACCAGAATCACCAAGTGCCTCAGTACAGGCAGGGGAACCGATAGATACCAGCTCAAAAAACCATCATGTGTGATGATGTTCTCCAGCAGCCAAATCTCCTGGTACCTCAGCAAAACTCTGGGAAGTACAGCTCCAAGAGGTAAAGCTCCAGGCTGACAGACATCCTCTAGCACTGAAACATCCCTGTGTAAGGCCTGGGTGAGCAGAAGCCAAAGAAAGGAGTGCAAGGCCTAGGTGAGCAGGCATCCCCCAGGGGCCAGACTCCCCACCCCTACCTCTAGTGTTGCAGTGTTGCTGTTCCTAGCCCAGCACCAGATAAGCTTCTAGAACCCTACAGCCTCCAACTGCTAGCTCCAGAGGCCACAACACACAAAGCCAGTGACCAGGCCCTGGGCTCCAGCAAAAGAAGCTTGGGTCAGTGCCCCCTGCTCTACAGCAGGAGAACTCAATTTTTTTTTTAAAGTCAGGAGATAAGCAAACACCATAAGCAAAAAGAAATGGATAATGATCATAGATTCTTATTATGGGGACGGGGAGGATCAGGAAGAAATTCAGAAGAGGACAACATTGTCAATGTACCCACATCCGAAACCTCAAAAGGAAATATGAACTGGTCTGAAGCCCAAAAAGCCTTCTTGGAAGAGCTCAAGAAGGATTTTAAAGGTCAAATAAGAGAGGCAGAAGAAAAATTGGGAAAATAAATGAGAGGTATGCAAGGGAAAGTGAATGGGTTGGAAAAGGAAGAATGAAAATTAACTGTAGAAAACAAGTCCTTAAAAAATACAATTGGCCAAATGGGAAAAAAAAAGCGCACTGAAGAAAACAAGTTCCTAAAAAATATAATTGGCCAACTGGAAAAATAAAGTACATTGAAGAAAACAACTTCTTAAAAAGCAGAATTGGCTAAATGGAAAAGGAGGTACAAAATCTAATAGAAGAAAACAATTCATTAAAAATTAAAATTAGGCAAGTAGAAGCAAATGACTCTATGAGACAGCAAGAATCAATGAAACAGAACCAAAAGAATGAAAAAATAGAAGAAAATGGAAAATACCTCAATGGTAAAACAACTGACCTGGAAAACTGATCCAGGAGAGACAATTGAAACATTATTGGTCTACCTGAAAACCATGATGAAAAAGAGCGTGGAAAACATCTTTCAGGAAATCATCAAGGAAAACTGCCTGAGGTCCTAGAACCAAAGGGTAAAATAGTCATTGAAAGAATCTACCAATCACATCCTGAAAGAGATCCCAAATTGAAAACACCAAGAAACATTGTAGCCAAATTCCGAAATTACCAGGTCAAAGAGAAAATGCTGCAAGCAGCCAGAAAGAAACAATTTAAATATCATGGAACCACAGTCAGGATTACCCAGGACCTTGCAGCTTCTACATTAAAAGATTGTATGGCTTGGAATACAATATTCCATAAGTCAAAGGAGCTTGGATTACAACCTAGGTTCAACTACCCAGTGAAAATGAGCATGATCTTTCAGGGGATGAGATGGATATTTAGTGAAATAGGGGACTTCCAAACCTTCCTGATGAAAAGACCAGAGGTCAACAGAGAATTTGTTCTTCAAATACAAGACTCAAGAGAGGCTTAAAAAGGTAAACAGGACAGAAAAAAACAACAATATATTATTAAGGGCAAACTGTTTACATCCCCACAAGGGAAGATGACACTTGTAACACTTGAGAAGTGTATTGTTATTACACCATTTAAAAGGGATATACATAGAGAGAGGGGTGGGT